GTTCAGCTACCATAGTAACCAAGCTCAACGCTGGTGATGAAGTATGGGTGGTGCATACTGTTCCAGTAGATGGTTCTATCTGGGGAAACTATTACGGTAGTTTTACTGGTGTTTTACTTGCTGACTTTTAATAACAGAAATTTATTAAAATACACAAGTCTTTTCTTTGTTTTCATTTTATTACATTTTCATCATTTCTGTTCTTTATTTTAACATGACATAAAAATCATGGTCAAAATTTCAGAGACTACAGTCACTGGTGAAACAGCTCATTAAGAAATGAGTATAATCAAATTATTCTTAACAGTGAAGACATTTTCTTTTCAATCTAGATGAACATGTTCAATCTGTTGCATATTGAGAACAGGACATAATATAATCTCATTTGACAAAGAAGTAACAAAAACAGAAACTAGAAATGTGTCGTCATGCAACGGATGCCCCCGCATACAGCCAAAATTTCAGATGTTACAATATTTAGTTCCAAATTTGTTTGCACAAACTATTTTTTCATTTTAAGTTCAAAGCCCTTAAAACTGTTCAATGTAAACACAAACCAATTTTTATACAAAGTTCAAGGTACTGGAACTATTCAGTGTTAACCTTTTGTAAATTGTATTGTATATTTGTAGCCAAAATAATGACTACATACATTTATACAAAAGTGTGAGTGCTGAAACTAAAAATTCAAAATTTTTCCAACATTCAAGAGAGATAACTTTGTCCAAAATCATTGAACCACGACCAAATGCGAACTTGAACTGCTTATTCCTAAGATGTATGTATAATTATGTCAAATTTGAGTTGAATGTGTACAACCATTGGGGAGATAATGAACGGAAACTGAAAATTCAATATTATTTTCAAAGTGAAAGGGGCATAAGTCTGCCTAAAATCATCAAAGCATGACCAAATTCGAACTTGACCAGCACATTCCTTTCACACATCCAAATATCAAATTTGAGTTGAATGTAAAATACTGTTGGGGAGATAATGAACGGAAACTAAAAATTTCATATTATTTTCAAAGTGAAAGAGGCATAACTCTGCCAAAAATCATCTAACCATGACCAAATTTGAACTTGACCTGCGCATTCCTTTGACGTAACCATATATTAAATTTGAGTTGAATGTAAAATACCTTTGGGAGATAATGAACGGAAACTGAAAATTTCATATTATTTTCAAAGTGAAAGGGGCATAACTCTGCCAAAAATCAACGAACCATGACCAAATTCGAACTTGACCTGTGCATTCCTTTGACGTATCCATATGTCAAATTTGAGTTGAATGTGTAATACCGTTGGAGAGATAATGAACTGAAACTAAAAATTTCATCAAGGGGCATAACTCTGTCAAAATTCATCGGACCATGACCAAATTGGAACTTGACCTGTATTTTCTCGTGATATATCCATATGTCAAATTTGAGTTGAATGTGTGCAACCGTTACTAAGATAATGAACGGAAACTGATGATGACGGAATGACAGAAGGATGGAACTGAGAAAAAATAGATGCCACAGTTACTGGGCAGGAACCAGTTTCCGGACAAAATTCGAGTTTTTTTAATTGTCTATTTTTTAATAATAAACATGCATTAATAAAACTAACATACCAAAAACCTGAGCTCTAACTACGTCCGATAACACAATTAATACTGCCTGGTGACGTAAGCAATGTACAGACTGAAGGTTTAAATTAGGTCATCAAAGTGTAAATTGTTCACTCTTGCAGAACCAGTTTCCGGAAATATATTAAGCTGCTATTCATATCTGTTTTTAACTGATAATTATTCTAATATAACAAAAAATTTCTTCTCACATATTAGCTTTCTTATATAATTAAGCTGATTTACTGAAAAATGTTTATGATAGGAAAAATAACGATCACATGATGGGTCGCGGAATGACTGAAAAGTGAAACGGATATTTTTGTGTGTGCGGCAACAACGAAGTGCGAAAGTGGAGTAAACCTAGCTAAACACCGTTTTCCGATACGTTACAGATTTAGCTCTGGGGAATTACACCCAATGAACTTCGAATGAAGTAAATTGTGCATTAATTGCTACCCCAAATTATATTCCGAAATATACAAAAAAACAGAACAAATAACATGCCCCAAAGGGATATAAGGCTGTTTTTAAATCACAGGTAAGATATCCTCACGAAATTTTAATGATGTATCAACTTGGAAGGAAGTTTATTTTCTCAAACAATCAAACCAAGCATCGTCATGACATATAATACCGAAAAGCCAAAATTGAGCCTTTATAATACTTGTCCGGAAACTGGTATTGTCCGGAAACTGGTTCCTGCCAAGTATATAAGTTGCCAGACTTGTGTTTTTTTTGTCTTGGTAAGTAAGTGTTATTAATATATGTAGTATCAAGCCATGAGTACTAGTAGAAAATGAGAAAAATAGAACTTGCCAAATAAGGTTAATTGTACTTGTATCATAGTTTGGGGATCTTTCTGTTGAAAATGTGTCAGAAGTTTTTTAAAATCATATACATATACATGCACACTGAGTGCTTTAACTGGACTGCATGTATTATTTACCCACTCTCCAGAGCATGCCTATAATGATTGGTTCATTATGTCTGGGATTTACATATTGTGACAACAGAGAAAGGGATAGCGATAGAAATATCATATTCAGATACTCCTTCATTGGTTACTTTTTTTCTTGGGTTTCATATTGTGACTATGATACAAAAGAGAAAGAACATCAAAACACACGGCAATCTGATTTATACTCAGGGGCCATGCCCCCTCATACAAATCAGATAGCCTCATGTTTCGATGCTCTTTCTATTACATGTTGAATACTTAATACCTGAGGCATAATAACCTTATTCAGTGTGAAATTTTATCTTGTGCACAGAATTGTACAAACACAACACAATAAACCTACATGTACACAGAGATAAAGAATAGCTTCCTTGATGCAACTGTCAAGCTAGATGTGCAATCATTCAGTTTAGCTTTTATTTTTTGGTAAAAAAATACAGGTTCAAGGTGCCAATTTGCATATCATTTGATGCTCAAACTGGCACTTGAGCAGGGGTGTGGGAAGTTTCTGATGCCAGCAAGTAAGTTAGACAGAAATTTACCTTGTCCACAGCTTAACTGTCTCATCTAAAACTAAATAAGTTGAACACACCTTTCAGCAAAAGTTGTTTAGAAGTTACAATGTCCTTACTTTGTAAAATGTGAAAACGATTTCCCTTAGTAAAGTTCTGACTTATGATCAGTTTTTGGAAGCATCCTGCAAATTTTAAACAAGAATAAATAAGGTCTCAATTATTATCCTTTCAGAGCAAATACATGTACACTAAACAGGGCATTTTTTTTTAACTTAGAGCCATGATATTATGACTTTGAAGAACACCACTATGTAATATGATGCCACAAATATCTAAGCTCTAAGTCAGGCAGTTTCAGGCAACAAGATCTGACTGATCTTTTCAACCTGATAACTCTCAAAGGGTCATCTTTTAGCACTCTACTCTTAAATATAATAAAAAGCTGAGAAAATTCAATTGTTGCACAAATTTATCAATGTGGTGTCAGACTTATTATTACAATAATGTTGAATCTGTATTAAACTGTTTGTTCATTTATATGCTGATACAACATTCTCGTACTAAACAACATTTCAATGACTGATAAGACAAGCATTTGATAGTATTGCGGGCAATACAGCAGTCCCCTACCGGTCCCTCAAAAAGTTCTTTAATTGTCATACACTCCTGTGTATTGCCATTTATAATGAATTTGAGGATGAAGTCTGTATTTGAAAATATCAACCACAAAACATAAAATAAGTTTGTCTATATCACAGTAATGTGTTAAGTTTCCATGCTTAGTAAGGAAATTATGTTTATACAACCTTGTCATATTATTACGATGTGGGATTTTAAAGTAAATCCTATAAGGAATGAAGAAGTTGGAGTGAAAATACCAGTTTCTCGAAAAAAATCTAAGTTCAAGGGGGACATAATTCTGGAAATAGTCTTGCTAGAGTATTTAACCTTCTCAAAAATGTCGAGTGATAATAAGAAACATATATATGAAGTTTGAAGTAGATACATTAGGAAATAAAGAAGTTATTTAAAAAAGACAACATTTTTTCCCCTAAAAAATCTAAGTTCAAGGGAGGTAATACTAATATTTTTTGTGCTAGAGTTATAAACCTTGTCACATATGATGTGGTTGATGACCAGAAACTTATATTTAAAGTTTGAAGTAAACACCTTAAGAAATAAAGAACATATAGTGAAAAAGCTGAAAAATTTAAATCAGAAATCTTGAAATTCAGGCTATTTGTTGCCATAGCAACCAGAATTTTCAACATAGGAAGAAAAAAAAAATATGTGCATAATCTCCAGACTGCCATCTACCCATATTTCAAGTTTCATAAAAATATTTTCAGTACTTTTTGAGTTATCAACTGGATCCAGTTTATGTGTTAAATTTGCCATATTTTCAGACTATTTTGTTGCCATAGCAACCAGAATTTTCAACATAGGAAGAAAAAAAAAGACGTGCATAATCTCATACTGCCATCTATCCATATATCAAGTTTCATAAAAATATTTTCAGTACTTTTTGCGTTATCGCGGGATCCAGTTTTGTGGACGGACGGACTGACAGACTGACAGACAGACAGACGGACAGACAGACGGACAGACAGACGGACAGACAGACAGACGGACAGACGGACGGAGGGTAAACCTAAAGTCCCCTCCGGTTAAACCGGTAGGGGACTAATAAGCATATTGCCCTATATTTATGTCAATGTATGTTTTGGCCTCTTCGTTTTTAGTTTAATCTTATCTTTAAGTCTTTTGTTTCCACAAACCCATTCCAAAGGCAGAGTGTATTGTATGTTACCATAATTAAGTTTAATGTCAGAATTCATTAAAACTGAAAAATTGATTACATTTGTATTTTTCAAAATGACATCAGTTTGTATTTTTGTTGTATATTGGCAGTAATGCCTGTTTGTTTTGGACAAGATGACTTTACAACACTTGTAGAAAAGGATAAAAGCTGTGGAAGCAAGAGGTAATTTTCCTGTAAACATTTTTATTCAAAAACAAAACAAAATACAATATGCATGAATACTCATCTTTTATGGCTGTCTAAAAAAAAATTTCATTAAGAAACAGGAAAATGTCATATGTAATCATAATTATGTCAATTGCTCTAATGATATTAAGAAAATTACTTAACTAATCACACTTGAATTTAAGTTAAGCATAATATTACTATCAATTAAGCATGTTAGAATAGGAAGAAGATTACACTTTAATTAATGCAATTTTTTATAGCATAATATGCTGTAGAGATGCTTTTAAAATTATCACTTTTACCAAAGCATTTCTATTTCTACAAAAGAAATAATTCAAACTAACCAATAAAATGAAATCAACTCACTCAACATTAAAACATAAACAATGTTTACAATTTAGGACATATATTCTTACCTTTAGGTCAGAAACTGTGTATAGTAATATTTTAAGAATGGTTATATGAAATAGGAACAAGATTCTGACAAAAGAATTTCTACATGGTTTAAGACAATTAGGAGAAACATCACCCAAAGATTAAAACTGTATAATGTCTACTCATTAAATATTTCAGATATGGATCACTTAACTACAGATAAAGCAACTAGAGAGACAAGTTCAAAACTCTAAATGAAAGCTGAACCTCATGTCTACCACAATCACAACCTTCAAACTGAACATGCTACCTGTTACAAAAGTTAACAGATCAAGAAATAACCATAGCAACATTTGAGGACTGACTTAGATAATCAAAAATCAATCTCCCGAGGGAAAGTTCACGCCAAACTGCAGTTTTACAGTCAACTGTGAATGGAATGGGTGTCACAATAGCGAAGTTAAAGAGAATATTTGCCAGTTACAAGAACATCTTCCAAGAGCACTCAAATGATAAAACAGAAAACAAGTATCACAAAGAAATAAAACAGGCTGATACTGCCAGCAAAGAGCTTTCTGATGCTAGTTTCTCCAGTAAATATCTGAAAATGCCATCTTTGGATAACAACAAAAAGAACATATCCCTGGGTCATGCTGACATGTCTAAGACAAATAGTCTTCATGATTCTCTGATAAGTTTTGTTGGGGACAAAGGTAGTGAAACAAGCATTTGATAGTATTGCGGGCAATACAGTAGTCCCCTACCGGTCCCTCAAAAAGTTCTTTAATTGTCATACACTCCTGTGTATTGCCATTTATAATGAATTTGAGGATGAAGTCTGTATTTGAAAATATCAACCACAAAACATAATAAAATAAGTTTGTCTATATCACAGTAATGTGTTAAGTTTCCATGCTTAGTAAGGAAATTACAACCTTATATACAACCTTATACAACCTTGTCATATTATTACGATGTGGGATTTTAAAGTAAATCCTATAAGGAATGAAGAAGTTGGAGTGAAAATACAGTTTCTCGAAAAAAATCTAAGTTCAAGGGGACAATAATTCTGGAAATAGTCTTGCTAGAGTATTTAACCTTCTCAAAAATGTCGAGTGATAATAAGAAACATATATATTGAAGTTTGAAGTAGATACATTAGAAATAAAGAAGTTATTTAAAAAAGACAACATTTTTTTCCCCTAAAAAATCTAAGTTCAGGGAGGTAATACTGATATTTTTTGTGCTAGAGTTATAAACCTTGTCACATATGATGTGGTTGATGACCAGAAACTTATATTTAAAGTTTGAAGTAAACACCTTAAGAAATAAAGAACATATAGTGAAAAAGCTGAAAAATTTAAATCAGAAATCTTGAAATTCAGGCTATTTGTTGCCATAGCAACCAGAATTTTCAACATAGGAAGAAAAAGAAAAGATGTGCATAATCTCCAGACTGCCATCTACCCATATTTCAAGTTTCATAAAAATATTTTCAGTACTTTTTTGAGTTATCACTGGATCCAGTTTATGTGTTAAATTTGCCATATTTTTCAGACTATTTGTTGCCATAGCAACCAGAATTTTCAACATAAAAGAAAAAAAAAAAGACGTGCATAATCTCCATACTGCCATCTATCCATATATCAAGTTTCATAAAAATATTTTCAGTACTTTTTGCGTTATCGCGGGATCCAGTTTTGTGGACGGACGGACTGACGGACTGACAGACTGACAGACAGACAGACAGACGGACAGACAGACGGACAGACAGACAGACGGACAGACGGACGGAGGGTAAACCTAAAGTCCCCTCCGGTTAAACCGGTAGGGGACTAATTAAGGCCTCACAGAGAATAAAAGACAACAAATCAAGACAAGCAGGTTGGTCTAGATCATACTTTATTCATATCTACAGTAGAACTTCTATGAGTTGAACTTAGATTAGTTGATTTTCTGGATGTGTCAAAGTAAAATGAAATCATGATTTTTTCCCCATAAAACCTATATAAGAGTAGAAGTTTTATAAGTTGCTTTTTCGATGTGTCAGAGTTTTTTTGTGGTGTAAATAGAATAAAATTCACCACAAATAAGTCGAAGTCCTTTGAATTTTTTTTACACCTTTGATCTCAAGACATTTTTCATACCTTTTCTGGCCACAAAAATGATTTCCTATCAACTTGTGTGACAGATATTAATTTCACAGCTGTGTGTTCTAACACCTTTTGTATAGTTGATAAAATGCATGATGTTCAAATATAGGAAAGGAATACATGCATGATCTTTTAAAATATTGCACAATTGTATATCCTTATAAACACTACATTTATTACATGCTTTTCAGTGGTTTATAGAAATATATCAGTGAAATATAAAACTGATAATTTCACTGTTTTAAACAGTGAAATTATCAGAGTGTAGGACAAAAGCCCTCCCGGACAAAAGCCCTCCCGTTAAAAAGTGACAAGGCGGACAAAAGCCCTCCCGTGAAAATGACAAGGCGGACTAAAGCCCTCCCGTAAAAATGTCAGGGCGGACAAAAGCCCTCCCGTAAAAATGACAGGGCGGACAAAAGCCCTCCCGTGAAAATAATAGGGCGGACAAAAGCCCTCTCGCAGCAAATACATATATGTACGTTGAATAGTTTTTATTTTCTTCAATCATCAATGCACTCAACATATTAAAATTGTAATCATGAATATTTTTGTTTTCCATTGGCATAACCGTGTTTGTATGGGCTTGAGCACATTCCTGAGAAATGAGTGCTAAAATCTGTAAGTGCATATTTATTCACATAGATATGAAGGATTACTCCTATGTGAAGTTAATATTATTAGAGTAATAAATGATGAAAAGAAGTTAAAATCATCTAACTTAAAGTAAAAGACATTTATAATGTGCCTTGTAATTAGTCAATTACTTTTAAAAGTGACTTTGTTTTTAACGACATTCGTGTAAAAATTTACCTCGTTAAACATTTCAGGAAGGTATTTTCAGAATAAAAGGTGGTTCTAGCTCATACACATACTTAGGCCAATTGAAAACAATAAGAAATATATGTAACAATTTTAATATGTTGAGTGCATTGAAAGATAGATAGATAGATAGATATTTATTCAGGTTAAAACACACATACATGTATACATAAAACAACACTTTAGCATTTTATATAAAACTGATGACACAATTGTAATAAAATATTTCGGAAGTTTGTCAGACATAAATATCACAGACGGCTCATTAAATAATAAAATATTATAACTACAAACAAAATCTAAAACTCTTTCTTTCCTATGACTAGATATCAATTTGCTAGTTTTAATAAAATGTAAGGACGTAAGTGGAAACATGTATAGAGTAGTGTGCAATAACCTCGGATTGCCCATGAAAGCCCGAAGGCTTATTTCCAATGGGGTCCTTGGATATATACTTACTATAATATACAATATAAAACACAAAAACATTGAAAAATACAAAACTTGGAAACTGGAAGATGTCATTTACGTAAAATATCAAACTTTAGTATTCCATTAACTTTGCTAAAAAGAAAACAATAAAATGAGATCAATATCTAGTCTTACTAGTGGATTTAATTATGATTTACTAACCTAACTGTTCTAAGTAAATGGGCCTTTACAGAGCTTTTGAAATTTCCTATCTTATTAATTTTTTTGATGTATGTGGCAAGGAGTTCCAATCATTAATTGCTTTTTGAAAAAAGTTACATTATCTTTCCCATTAACTTCTTGGGACCACTAAAATTGTACTGATTCGACCGAGTTGAATAAGAATGAATATCTCGAACCAGGTATAAAATTTTCTATCATATATGAAGGCACTGGTTATTAACAATTTTAAAAACATGATTAAGACGTAATTGCTTATTTCTGTTTTCTACATTTAGTAAAGACATATTAGCAAGAATAAACATTATTGACACTATCTCTAGGTCCCATACCGTGTATAAATCTAACAATTTTATTTTGACAAATTTGAAGCTTATTTTTAAAACACTGTTCAGGCTCGGGTACCAAGAAGAACATGCATAATCAAGGTGACATTGTATTAGTGCTGAGCATAAAATATTTTCTCTAGTCCTAAAATCTAAAACATCTGCTTGCCTATACAAAAACTTAAGACGTGAATTCACCTTGCTAAGAATACAATTAACAATAGATTCACCTGACAGAGAATCATCAATATTTAAACCTAGATATTTAACAGATTTTGTGGATTCAATAGTATGTCCATTTACAAACAATTTTGAACTCTTTAACTTGTTTTAGTTTACGTTTGGAACCAAAAAGTAAGACATTCAGTCTTTCCTAGATGAAGTGACAATTTGTTATCTACAAGCCAAGATGAACAAGACTCTAGTGTTTGTTTCAAGTTTTTGAGAAATAATACTTGGATTTTTTGTGAGCAAAAAGGAATTGCACTGTCATCGGCATACAGAATAAGTTTACATTCTTGATCTATACTAATTCTCATGTCATTTACATAGCACAAAAATAAAAGAGGACCCAGGATGCTGCCCTGGGGACCCCACATGTAACAGGCATGTAATCTGATAAAATATTATCAACACTAACAGTTTGTTTTCTACCTTTAGATAAGACATAAACCAGTCAGTATTAGAGATACCCATCAAATTTCAATTTTCCACATAAAATATCATGGTCAACAGTATCAAATGCTTTTTGTAGATCTAACATTATCATGCCTGTGTATAATCCTTTGGAATTATTGTTTCTGATATGATCCATAAGATGGATAAGACAAGTGTCAGTGGAATAGGAATTTCTAAAACCTGACTGTAATTCATACAATAAACCATTATCAACTAAAAACTTTTCAAGTTGAGAATACACTGATTTTTCTAAAATTTTTGAAACAATGCTTAAAATGCTTACAGGTCTATAATTTCCTACTTCAAGATTACTGTTCTTTTTATATAAAGGTGTAACGTTTTTAAGGCACACAAACCCTGTCGGTGAAAAGCTAGCTCACCACCGAGAGTGGTTTGTGTCCTTATATACGGGAACTATTCCCTTCTGTTAATTCAACAACTTAAGTATTTGCATATTATCATGCTCATTATGACGTTCTACCAACGTCGTTACATTACTTTCCCCTCCGAGAAGTCTCGTCCCGAGACTTGGCCTGGGAAATCTGTGGGTAGGGCAACTCCAGTCTGGCAGTTGTCTACATCCCCACACTGGCCACCAAATGTAACGTTTTTAAGGCACACAAACCCTGTCGGTGAAAAGCTAGCTCACCACCGAGAGTGGTTTGTGTCCTTATATACGGGAACTATTCCCTTCTGTTAATTCAACAACTTAAGTATTTGCATATTATCATGCTCATTATGACGTTCTACCAACGTCGTTACAAAGGTTTTACCCTAGCTACTTTCATGTCATCAGGGACATAATTTTCTGAAATTGACATATTTATGATAAAAGTAATTGGTATTTTCAAAAATGAAGCTGCATCTTTTAAAAATCTAGCAGGAATTTCATCTAAACCAGTACTCTTTGATGAGTTTAATTTCTTAAGCTCTTTATATACAAATGTCTCAGAAACATGTTTTAAGTACATTTTATTATTCTTAGTATTTCTATCATTATAAAAATCTAACAAAGCTTGTGAGAAACCACAGGTATTCAACATACATATTTATTTTTGTTACGGGAGGACTTTTGTCCGCCTTGCTAATTTCATGGGAGGGCTTTTGTCCGCCCTGTTATTTTTACGTGAGGGCTTTTGTCCGCCCTGTCATTTTCACGGGACGGCTTTTGTCCGCCTTGTCATTTTTTGACGGGAGGGCTTTTGTCCCAGAGGGCTTTTGTCTGTTTCCCAAATTATCAATTTGATAATTTTCACTGTTTTGAATTTAAGCCCCTCATTTTATTTGGCACATTTTTCATTTAATATCAAGTTAAATGTCTTTTTAAACATTTCTTTGTGTATAATAAAAAGAAAATTTGTTTAGTTAAGTGTAAGATCGAAATATATTTCACCTTATAAACACCAAAAGTTCATATTTCACTTGTGGCTGCACAACTCATGAAATATACATTTTGGTGCTCCCTCTGTAAAATATATTCTGATCTTACACTGAACTAAAAAAAAAATACTCGTATAATTATATAATCAATTTAATTCAGGTTATCAGGTTATCATTTCTTTAATCTTATTTTTACTTTATCATTCATTACAGGACTCAATATTGTCAGTTCAGAACAAAGGGCAGCAACAAACTTTGTTGCATTCCATGCTGTGCTTACCCCTAGTGCTATACATAATCTTGGAAGCAATGAGAACATAAGATTTGACAGAGTTCTGTTAAATGAGGGACATGGCTACCATAATCAACATGGACTCTTCATTACTCCAAAACCTGGATTCTATCTTTTCTCAGTTACTTTGGCAACATATTATGGTAGACCATTTTATGCTGTATTAATGAAAAATGGAGCAAGATTAGTAAGCTTATCTGGTAATGGTCAATATTCAGGAAGTTATCTTGACCAAAGTTCAATTACCATAGTAACCAAACTCAACGCTGGTGATGAAGTATGGGTGGTGCATATGACTCCAGTAGATGGTTCTATCTTGGGAAATTATTACAGTAGTTTTACTGGTGTTTTACTTGCTGACTTTTAATAACAGAAATTTATTAAAATACACAATGTCTTTTCTTTGTTTTCATTTTATTACATTTTCATCATTTCTGTTCTTTATTTAAACATGACATTAGAATCATGGTAAAATTTCAGAGACTACAGCCACTGGTGAAACAGCTTGTTTAGAAATGAGCATAATCAAATTATTCTTAACAGTGAAGACATTTTCTTTTCAATAGAGATAAACATGCTTTATGTTCAATCTGTTGCATATTGAGGACAGAAAATAATATAATCTCCTTTGACAAAGAAGTAACAATAACAGAAAAAAAAAAGAAAAATATAAAGACGAAGAACACCTCAAAAGCAGGGCAATATATTTCCAGATGCAAATTTGTTTATCATACCTACTAGTATTTATATCCTAAGTGCTTTAAAGGAGATAACTGAGAAAAAATAGATGCCACAGTTATATAAGTTGCCAGACTTGTGTTTCTTCTGTCTTGGTAAGAAAGTGTTATTAATATATGTAGTATCAAGCCATGAGTACTAGTAGAAAATAAGAAAAATAGAACTTGCCAAATAAGGTTAATTGTACTTGTATCATAGTTTGGGGATCTTTCGGTTGAAAATGTGTCAGAAGTAAATCATATACATGCACTAACTGGACTGCATGTATTATTTACCCACACTCCAGAGATTGATTGGTTCATTATGTCTGGGATTTACATATTTTGACAACAGAGAAAAGGATAGCGATAGAAATATAATATTCAGATGCTCCTTCATTGGTTACTTTTTTTCTGGGGTTTCATATTGTGACTATGATACAAAAGAGAAAGAACATCAAAACACTTGGCAATCTGATTTATACTCAGGGCCATGCTCTTCGTACAAATCAGAAAGCCTCATGTTTCGGTGCTCTTTCTATTACATGTTGTATACTTAATACCTGAGGCATAATAACTTTAATCAGTGTGAAATTTTATCTTGTGCACAGAATTGTACAAACACAACACAATACACCTACATGTACACAGAGATAAAGAAAAGCTTCCTTGATGCAACTGTCAATGTGCAATCATTCAGTTAAGCTTTTATTTTTTGGTGATAAAATACAGGTTCAAAGTGCCAATTTGCATATCATTTGATGCTCAAACTGGCACTTGAGCAGGGGTGTGGAAAGTTTCCAGTTAGACAGAAATTTACCTTGTCCACAGCTTGACTTTCTCATCTCAAACTAAATAAGTTGAGCACATGTTTTAGCAAAAGTTGTTTAGAGGTTACAATGTCCTTTCTTTGTAAAATATGAAAAGATTTCTTTCAGTAAAGTTCTGACTTTCGATCAGCAGTTTTTGGAAGCATCCTGCAAATCTTAAACAAGAATAAATTAGGTCTCAATTATTATCCTTTCAGAGCAAATACATTAAACAAGGCATTTTTTTTTTTAAACTCGGAGCCATGATATTATGACTTTGAAGAACACCACTATGTATGCCACAAATATCTAAGCTCTAAGCCAGGCAGTTTCAGGCAAGAAGATCTGACTGTTCTTTTCAACTTGTTCACTCTCAAGGGTCACCTTTTAGCACTCTATGCTTAAATATAATAAAAAGCTGAGAAAATTCAATTGTTAAGACAAAGTTATCAATGTAGACAGACTTAGTCTTACAATAATGTTGAATCTGTATTAAACTGTTTGTTCATTTATATCCTGATACAACATTCTTGTACTAAACAACGTTTCAATGACTGATAAGATAAGCATATTGCCCTATATTTATGTCCATGTATGTTTTGGCCTCTTCGTTTTTAGTTTAATCTTATCTTTAAGTCTTTTGTTTCCACAAACCCATTCCAAAGGCAGAGTGTATTGTATGTTACCATAATTAAGTTTAATGTCAGAAATTCATTAAAACTGAAACTTGATTACATTTGTATTTTCAAAATGACATCAGTTTGTATTTTTGTTGTCATATTGGCAGTAATGCCTGTTTGTTTTGGACAAGATGACTTTACAACACTTGTAGAAAGGATAAAAGCTGTGGAAGCAAGAGGTAATTTTCTTGTAACAATTATACTCAAAAAAAAAACAGTCAATATGCATTAATACTCATCTTTATGGCTGTTAAAATTTTTAGTCTCATTAAGAAACAGGAAAATGTCATATGTAATCATAATTATGTTCAATTGCTCTAATGATGTAAAGAAATTACATAACTAACCGCACTTAAATTTAGTTCAGCATAATATTACTATCAATTAAGCATGTTAGAATAGGAAGAGAGATTACACTTTTATTAATGCAAATTTTTTTATAGCATAATAATTATGCTGTAGAGATGCTTTTAAAATTATCACTTTTACCTACAGCATTTCTATTTCTACAAAAAGAAATAATTCAAACTAACCATAAAATGAAAATCAACTCACTTAACATTAAAACATAAACAATGTTTACAATTTAGGACATATATTCTTACCTTTAGGTGTGAAACTGTGTATAGTAAATATTTTAAGAATGGTTATATGAAATAGGAACAAGATTTCTGACAAAAGAATTTCTACATGGTTTAAGACAATTAAGAGAAAACATCACCAAAAGATTAAAACTGTATAATGTCTACTCATTAAATATTTCAGATATGGATCAACTTACTACAGATAAAGCAACTAGAGTGGCAAGTTCAAAACTCTAATGAAAAGCTGAACCTCATGTCTGCCACCAATCACAACCTTCGAACTGAACATGCTACCTTGTTTCAAAAGTTAACAGATCAAGAAATAACCATAGCAACATTGAGGACTGACTTAGATAATCAAAAATCAATCTCCGAGGAAGTTCACGCCAAACTGCAGTTTTTACAAGTCAAATATGAATGGAATGGGTGTCCACAATAGCAAAGTTAAAGAAAATATTTGCCAGTTACAAGAACATTTCCAAGAGCAATCTAATGATTGAAACAGAAAACAAGTATCACAAAGATATAAAACAGGAAGATACTAAAGAAATTCCTGCGCAGCAAAGAGCTTTCTGATGCTAGTTTTCTCCAGTAAATATCTGAAAATGCCATCTTTGGATAACAACAAGAAGAACATATCTCCTGGGTCATGCTGACATGTCTAAGACAAATAGTCTTCATGGTTCTCTGATAAGTTTTGTTGAGGAAAAAGGTGGTGAAACTAAGGCCCTCACAGAGAATAAAAGAACAACAAACAAGACAAGCAGGTTGGGCTCTAGTTCTTAGTTTTATTCATATCTACAGTAGAACTTCTATGAGTCAAACTTCGATAAGTCGATTTTCTGGATGTGTCAAAGTAAAATGAAATCATGATTTTTTCCCCCTACATATTTCTTATAAAACCTTTATAAGAGTAGAAGTTTTATAAGTTGCTTTTTCGATGTGTCAAAGTTTTTTGTGGTGTAAATAATATAAAATTCACCACAAATAAGTCGAAGTCCTTTGAATTTTTTTTACACCTTCGATCTCAAGACATTTTTTCACATCTTTTCTGGCCACAAAAATGATTTCCTATCAACTTGTGTGACAGATATAAATTTCACAGCTGTGTGTTCTAACACCTTTTGTATAGTTGATAAAATGCATGATGTTCAAATATAGGAAAGGAATACATGCATGATCTTTTTAAAATATTGCACAATTGTATATCCTTATAAACAACTACATTTATTACATGCTTTTCAGTGGTTTATAGAAATATATCAGTGAAATTAAACCTTCTTTGCAATAAAAAAAAGAAAAATTTTTAAATAAAGTGTTAGACGAAATATTTTCACTTATGAAACCTAAAGTTCATATTTCACTTGGCTGCAAACTCATGAAATATACATTCGGTGCTCCCCCTGTGAATTATTTTGATCTTACACTGAAAAAAAAAAAAAACTCGTTTTTTCATCAAATTTTAAATTAGGTTAAATTCTATTTTTTCTTTATCTTTGTTACAGACCAAAATTTAGTTTGAACATGGGGGAGAACAAAATTTGTTGATTTACGTGTGTCGTTCACCTTTATTGATACCTTTGGGGACAATTTAAAAATTGATTTGTGTTTGTTTGGGGAGGTCCAAAATCCATGGATCTTTTTACTCCAAAACCGGGTTTTTTATCTTTTTTCGTCCCTTGGGCAGCAAATTTGATAAAAAATTTTATGTAATTAAAAAAAAGAGCAAAATTATTTTCTTATCTGGGAAAAGGTCGCAGGAGGGATCTTGACCAAGGTTCAGTACCATAGTACCCGCTCAACGCTGGTGTGAAAATGGGGGGGTGTATTGTTCCAGTAGTGGTTTATTGGGAAAATTTTTTCTCTAGTTTTCTGGTGTTTTACTTTCCATTTTGAATAAAATTATTAAATACACAAAGTCTTTTCTTTGTTTCATTTCATTACTTTTCTCATTTCTGTTCTTTATCAAAATACTTAGAAATAGGTAAAATTTCAGGACTACAGCCCCCTTTGGTGAAACAGTCATTTAAATAGTTAATCAAAATTTTTCTTAAAAGTGGCTTTTTTTCTTAAATTTAAAATGTTTTAAACTTTGTATTGGAACAGAAAAAAAATTTAATCTCTTTGACAAAAAAGTAACAATAACAGAAAAAAATTGAAAAATATAAGGATGAAGAGCACCTTAAAAGCAGGGCAATATATTTCCAGAAGCAAATTTGTTTACTATACCTACTAGTATTTATATCCTCTTTTTCTGTTTCTGTTTGAAAAAAAAAAAACAATGCAAAAAAAGTGATTTTTGGCAATTTTGAGATGTCCCCCATTGCCATGGTAACAGGAAATTAAAGATTGAGCATGCTGTTCAAGATGCCATGGTCCAGTCAAGATTTGTACCAAGTTTAATCAGTACTGAAGCATTTTTCATAGTTTCATAGCAGTTTGAACATGTAACAGGAGGCTTTTCAGTGAAAATGGTTATTTTTCACAATATGCTCATGCGGCAAAGGGTTAAGGGATAAAAGTACAGTATTTTGTCATTTATTTCTTGATCAGAAATTGACCTGTTCACATACAAGTTCCATTGAAAATTCCATTTGTCCACCTGGAAAGATTTCTGGGTTGGGCAAGTCAGGCATAGGACTTTTTGCAACTCTGACACCAGCAAAATCCTCATATGTTGAATTAAATTAGCTTATTATTTACCTTGGATCATAATGTGTAACCCTGCATATATCCAGCGTATTTTTGATGACCTGACCTAGAGTATCATATTGGTGAACACCTAGAATAGCTGTCCTTGCCACAGCACTGTTACTGGCTGCCAGTCTACCTGAGTCACGCCATATAATCTCAGATGCCTGCAAGACAATTGTTAAAAAATTTTGCTGGCTATATTTAACAACATTAGCATTTATGTAAAAAGAAAAACAATTCTAACATGGCTTGTGATTTTGTCATAATACACAATTAAGGAAATAACCGTATTTATCTGCCAATGAATACTGCTTAGAGATTACATGTATATATGATGCTGTTCATTTTATAAGTACACTCCCTTGGATACACCTGATATACAGACATGGAAATTGGCAACCCCCACTTGAAAAATAGCACAAGTGATCTCCCTTATTTGTCTTTTTTATAGTCACATTAGAATAAAAATAATACCAAATATGATTACTGGAAAGTATAATACATGTACACTTATTGTTGTTTTCTATGCAGTGTGCATAATGTACAAACTAGAACTTGGAACATCAGAACAAAACATGATAAAGTAGTACAACACCAATTGTCTGTAGATGTACAAACGTCTTATCATTCAACTTACTCTCAATGGTTCCTCGGAGAACTGTGGATGGCTTACAACATTCTTCACCTGGGAACAAACACCTGGGCTACACTCATCACCAAGTTCTGGTATACCTTGTTCTGACCAGCACATCAATCGTTTTGCATAGTCAACCGGATCAACCTGTTATAAGTTATATATACTAGATCAACCCTATTTCCAGGAACTTGAAAATTGTAACCAATGGAACAGGTTAATACATTTAACTACATGTACATATATCTCTGTTGTTTGAATATTTCTAATGCCAAATTTCAAACTTCTTCGCATTCTTTGAATACACACTGAAAAAAAGTGTGGCATAGGATGCATGGAAATACATGCCTATATGCAAATTTCAATTTTCAACATCGTCAAAAGATATCACCGAGAAAAATTGATTTCATAGACAATTTGCAAATGAAAGGTGATATACTTTGTCCAATAGTGTGTGTAATAACTGATATATGTGACCTGTACCTGATAACATATTCTGGCTTATTTAACAGATCTTCAATTTATGAAGTCTTCTAAAAGTAATAACATTGATTTTACAAACAATTTGCAATAAATTCATAATTCTAAATAGTCATTTAATTTATCTCTATCGGTCCAAAAGACAACAAGCAGACACAAAATTCTGAAAATTCATAAAAATGACTAAACCTTTTACCAGTTATTATCGAACAAGGATTTTACAAAGTGTCACTGTGACCTTGCCCTTTGGCCTATTGACCTTGAAATCAATAGGGGACAATAGTGGCCATGATCTTAACAGTGTGGGAGTACATACAGACAGACCACCTAATCACAATTTAAATTGGGGCATAAAAATGAACTCACAACAGATTTTTTCTGTATAATTGACTGTAGTATAAGGATCATCTGATCTGTTTCGTCAGTCCAATCTCCAATCTGCCATTTCCTGCGGTGTGCATCTGGGAAACACTTTTTGTGAACCATTTCCAACCTGTCATACACCTCTTTATAATGCTGAAATGTGCCAGTGAAATGTGTTAAAAAATATCATAAAATAATTGTAGAGTTTCAAGTCACACCTCCAAAATAGGAGAGCTAAAAAATCCACCTTATGATCTCTATTTAAATCACTGAGTGTTCTCCTTTACAATAATATGTTTATACATTTTGTATAATATTTCACAATGTCCAAATGGAATGAAAGGCAACAGAGTCCATATAGGGTCCATAATCATTAATGTACATTTTGTAATTAAACCCTAACCTGTTGAATTATTTAAATTAATTTGTTAAAGTGACATTATGCCCATCCAAGTGTATATAGTGAGTGAACGGGTGAAGATCAAAAAAAAATTTGTTTTGCCATAATATCTTTTAATTCAATAAGTAAGTTCGCATAAACAAAAAAATAACGCACAGATTCAAATGAAATTTCTGTAAATAACCATTAGAATTTACCTATAATGCTTAGTTTATAAAAAAGAGTGGGGCAGTTTTTTTTAATTTTAGGTAGATTTATAATTTTATCCTTAACATTTCCATTAACAACTGTTGGTCAAACATCATTTTGACAGCCAATCTTTTGAAATATATAGCTCAACTTGACTATGAAAATATGAGCATAATGTCTCTTTAAGCTTCTATTTTTGTATCTGTGACAGTCCATTATAAATTTTGGGGATATCAAGATGAAAACTAAGTCAGCCAACAGTAGATAGATTCCAGCTGACCAGGGGTCATTATTTGACAAAAAGATGCATTAAGTAACAAATCAAAAACTGGTTTCTCATTATTGTTATAAAAAATTGAGATTGATTGCCTTTATTTTTTACCTAATTTTAAATTTTATGTATATAAAATATGCATAAAATTACAAAACATTAAAAATTTAATTAAAACAGGAGGCAAATTCTCAAATAGATTCTTATTGTAATGTATAACTTTCTCCATCAAATGTATCTTAATATGAGAGTACTTTCCCTTGGTTAGCACACTGATAGAACTACAAAAATTTAAAACAGAGGTCTTTAAAATTACTTTACAAGTAAACAAAACATACATTTGTATTGTAGAAAGTATGATAATTCTATACATACCTTTTTAACCTCATCTTTTTTTAGTCCCTCTGTCAGCAATCCTATGGCATCACCAACACATTGACCATATATGGTAGCATAAATCCTATCATATGTCCTATGAATTTCTCTACGTAATACCTATAATGTAAACACTACCAAGTTGGAACAAGAATCCAGACAGGAGTACGGTAAATAAATCAAAATTTTAATTGTTTCTAATCTTAATAATATCATATATATATTTCAAAACAGTGAAAACTATGCTGAAGATCTCCTCTGAATTAAAAACACATTTGAGCCGTGTCACGACAAAACCAACATAGTGCGTTTGCGACCAGCATGGATCCAGACCAGCCTGCGCATCCGCGCAGTCTGATCAGGATCCATGCTGTTCGCTTACAAACCCTAAAACAAGTAGAGAAACTAATAGCGAACAGCATGGATCCTGATCAGACTGCGCGGAAGCGCAGGCTGGTCTGGATCCATGCTGGTCGCAAACCCATTATGTTGGTTTTGTCGTGACATGGCTCATTTAGAGAACCTGTCAATAAAAGAACAGAATTACAAAATCAGGGCTAGAATTTAAAATTGTTTCCCATTTGAAGTACAAGAAATTGTAACTCTCAATAACCAAACAGAACTTGCGTATTTTCAGCATAACATTTACCAGTTATACTACAAGATGCTCATGCATATATATATCAGTATTTGTTTATTGTACAATTGCTATGTCACATGAATTCCCTTTGGAGATCACATTTTTGTTAAAATTTCATTTCTGCTTTGCAAAGTATTTTAACTATATCTACATGTACTACACTTGCAAAAGTTTGCATACATGTGCAAAAAAAGTTACTGGCCCTTTTCTAGTTTGACTTACATTTTGCTAGTTTGTGAGTTCATAATGGTAAATAACCAGGTATAATAATTCACCCTAGTGTATGAATCCTTAAAAGTATGTTTATGTTTACTTTGGTGACCATGATTCATTTAGATTGTATCTTGTGTAAGCATTTTACACATTTTTGTTAAGAATAAAGTTGCAAGGTGTTTCAGCTCTTATACATGCAAATATCAGACTAGGAAATGTTGCTACAGGAGTCACAAATACACCCCCCCCGCCCCCAACATCTTTATGACACAGAATTTTATGTCTGTCCTTTAATCATTATTTTTGTAAGTGAACATACAACACATTGTACCAGTTTGAAGAAAGTCATTCAAGAATTATAGAACAAACAGTGATAACAGTATTATACAAAATTGTCTATATTACCTTCAAATGGCTTTAATTACAATAAATATCACTTTAATATTTATACATTAATCTAATTTATTATAATAAATATTATTGGACAGAAAAATTGCAAAAAAAAGAGGAAAACAGTTCAATCAATTGACAAGAGTCATGAAGTTTTGTTATTGTGAAAAATATAAGTTGGCATGCCATTGCTATGTGATGAAGTTGACAAATAATCAACTTACCGACAAAAATTTATCAATTATATAACAAGAGGGCCATGATGGCCCTGAGGTCGCTCACCTGTATATAGGCCCCCGAAGCGGGGCCAGTTTAAACCCCAGGGCTTTTATTTGAACAAACTTGGAATTAAGACACCCATTAGAAGATGTTTCATGATGTTAAGTTTTTGCTATACACATATAAGGGAAAACAATGACCTTCTCCCCCCTCCCCCTGCAGAGTTAATTTTAACCCAAAGGCTTTTATTTGAACAAACTTGGTAGACACCCATAAGAAGATGTTTCATGCTAAACATCTAAGCTCTAGCACATTGGGTTTTTTAAAAGAAGATTTTTTAAGTTTTTACTATACACATATAGTTAAAAACAATGACACCCCTGGGGCGGGGCCAGTTTTGACCCAAGGGCTTTTATTTGAACAAACTTTGTAGACACTTATTAGAAGATGTTTCATGCTTAATATCTAACTCTAGCTATTTGGGTTTTTTCAAAGAAGATTTTTTAAGTTTTTGCTATACACATATAAGGAAATCAATGACCCCCGGGACAGGGCCAATTTTGACCCCAGGGCTTTAATTTGAATGAACTTTGTAGACACTCTATAGAAGATGTTTCATGGTTAATATCTAAACTCTAGCTATTTGGGATTTTTTTCAAAGAGGTTTTTTAAGTTTTTGCTATACACATATAAGGAAAATCAATGACCCCCGGGGCAGGGCCAATTTTGACCCCAGGGCTTTTATTTGAACAAACTTAGTAGACACCCATTAGAACATGTTTCATGCTAAATATCTTAGCTCTAGCTCTTTGAGTTCTTTAAAAGGAGATTTTTTAAGTTTTTACATTATGCATATAGGGAAAATCAATGACCCCCCTTGTGCGGGGCCAATTTTGACCCCAGGGCTTTTATTTGAACAAACTTGGTAGACACTCACTAGAAGATGTTTCATGCATAATATCTTAGCTCTAGCTCTTTGGGTTCTTTAAAAGAAGATTTTTTAAGTTTTTACTATATGCATATAGGGAAAATCAATGACCCACTGGGGCGGGCCAATTTTGACCCCAGGGCTTTTATTTGAACAAACTTGGTAGACACTTATTAGAAGATGTTTCATGCCAAATATCTAAGCTCTAGCTCTTTGGGTTCTTTAAAAGAAGATTTTTTAAGTTTTTACTATATGCATATAGGGAAAATCAATGACCCCCTGGGGCGGGGCCAATTTTGACCCCAGGGCCTTTATTTGAACAAACTTGGTAGACACTCATTAGAAGATGTTTCATGCCAAATATCTAAGCTCTAGCTCTTTGGGTTCTTTTAAAGAAGATATTTAAAGTTTTTTCTTTCGGTTGCCATGGCAACCAGAGTTCTGCATGGAATTAAATTCTTTGAACAAAAGGTGACCACCAAAGGAACATTCCTGTGAAGTTTGGATGAAATTGGCTTAGTGGTTTATGAGGAGATGTTTATGGACGGACGACGGACGGACGGCGGACGAAAAGCGATCACAAAAGCTGACCCTGTCACTTTGTAACAGGTGAGCTAAAAATGGAAGACCTCGAAGACATGTATCTTCTAAGGCTATTCCATGCATGGCAAAGTTACAGTTTGGACCTTTAAACTGTAACTGTGAGAATGTGAACCTTCCAACTGTGTGACCTAGAGACATAGGTCTTAAGACACATCACATCATCATGATGTGGTAGAGTAGACATTTGTACCAAGCTATTTTAAAAGCCTTCAATGCATGACAGTTACAGTCTGGACATAGATGATGTGTTTATTGGGATGCACAGACAGACATATGGTGAGATTTTAATATGCCCCAACCTTCATAGGCATAAAAATAAGCAAATTTTTGAGTAATTGCAGAGATATAGATAACAGAGATAAGCAGCTCCTATATACTCCATTGAAATATCACTCAAATAATTGTTTGATATTTTACTCTCCGCACAAAATTAAAGTTATTGAAATCACCATTTATGCAAAAAAGTTAAGCATGTCGAAAATGCAGTGAAGCATGTCGAAAATACAGAGTTCCATGCTAAATCTGTATGTTTCTGTTGTAAATGGGAAAACACGGCTCCAATATTCATAGGCAGTGTTCGCGTTTAATGAGTAAACATATCAATTTAGTCACTAAAATTGCCAGGGAGGAAAGAAAAAAAGGGCCGTTAAGTCCCCGGGACAAAACACTTTTTCTCTGATTATTGGTTAATTCTCTCTTAAGTTGTTTTGCTCTGTCAGATTGAAAACAGATTTTCTATTCGCTTTAAATAAATTATATTTTAAGAACTTGACTTTCACGTTCCCTTCTCATAAACAATGCAGATTTATATCCCAAACATAGACTAGGAGCAAGTGCCAACCTATCAATGGTATCCATGAACATCAACAGTTACTGTTGTCAATATGTTTTGACATAAGAGACTGTTCCGTTGTTAATTAGGAAAATGTTACCTTTGAAAAGGTAAAATACACATGGAAATATGGTCAAAAATATAAAAGCATTTAAATAAACCCTTATCCATTGCATATATTAATGCTAGATATTAAGTAAATTTAAGTAATCAGCAGTCTCTTTTCCACATTCTTTCGAGACTGGAGACCATTTAAGACTGTAGACCGTCGATTTGCAGGCTCTTCAACATGACAAATTGAACATGACTGTTAATGCTTTTTTAGTTAATTGACCTTCAGCCCTAACCTCTTAAATATTATTCAAGAGCACACAGCCGTCAAATTATAGATATCGTAAAAGTACACAAATTTGATTGTATTATGAAGTTATGCAAACATTGACATTTTTGTAATTGAGGACTCATCCCATTTGAATTGGGACGTAACAGATCTATTAGCAATGAGTCCCAGATACTCGGTAAAGACTAAAGTTAGGGAAAATCGCTAACACTGATAGGGTAGCCGGTAGGAGGGCTTAGGTTAGCCCAACAAATTGTGCGCTTTAGGGCTTTTTTATATAAAGAAGACGGACATCTATGAAATATCAGATTATAAAATCGTGTCTGTCTTGCCGTCGAAATATTGAGACTAGGCTTAGGTAGGAGTTAGTCCTATAACATAAGACGTTTCCGTTCATACTACGTACACTCCGTAGTATGAACGGAAACGTCTTATGTTATAGGACTAAGGTAGGAGTCTGAGTGCTGTTATCACAAATTATTGACTAATATGCACCTATCAATATTATGCCCGCCCGGGGGGGCGGCGGGCTGACCCAGGGGAATTTGACATTTTAAAATGTTTGAAGTCTAAATCCCCACCCTAGAGACAACCAATTTTGTCTAAATCCCCACCCTTGAGCCTGCTTGGTGCATCAAATGCCCCCGGGGGTAGGGGAGGGGGTAAATATCTAATAGATCAATCAATTAATAAAACTGTTATCAGAAAAACAATGAAAAATATAAGTACAAAGGCTTATCATTAGGAAAATAATGAATCCAGATTAATGAGCCTCAGAAGTAAGGTACGTAGATTCACTCCCAATGAGTATATATGTATCAATTGTAGTTTAATAACTTTGATAGTATTCAAATAATTAGACATTGAAGATACATATATTTTTTTATAAAAATGGGTATTTTCAAGTAATAAAGGGGCATAATTCTGAAAATAATGCATCAAGGTTATAAACCTTCTTAGTATGGTAGTGCCACTAAATACCGTACCTAGTTTCAATTAAATATCTTTCATAGAATAGAATGTACGACTTAAAAAACTTAAACCAATGCGGACACGGACACACAATCGATCGTATAAGCTCTTTAATATTTTACATTTATAGTTTAGCTACAAAATAAACCTACTAACCTAGTTTCTGACTCCACATGACTCAGTTTCTGTAGGGATGGTAAGCATGCTGACCAGGCTTAATTATAATTGAACCATATCTGTGGCCTCTTAGAGTGTTAAAACACTAAAAGTTGAGGACACCAGATTTGCGAAGACAGACATTCACCGATCACAATAGCTTCGTGCTCACAGCTAAGATGAGCTAAAAACTTACAACACTTTAACTTCTTATTTTATTTTAACATTTAACACAAAAAGTCATTAAAAAAGACATTCTTCCTCCTCCTGCGCCAAACCTGGACACTTCCACATTGTTTTTCTGAAATAGAGGGCATTTTTATAATCTTTAAGGTTTCAAATTTATTAAGTTTCATTTAAATTAGACCAAAAATGTTCTAAGATTTGACCTAGTGACTTAATTTTTGACCCCTCATGACTTAATTTTGAACATGTTCTAGATTTCATAGAGTTGAACATTTACACTAACTTTAATGAAAAATGGGCCAAAAATGTGGCCTCTAAAGTGTTTGCATTCTTTTTCTAAGATTTGACCTAGTGACATAGTCTTTGACCCCACATGACCCAACCTTGAACTTTGCCGAGATTTCAGACAAACATTTTGACCAAGTTTCATGGAGAAACGACAATTATAGCTCAACACAAAGCTACAAAAAGAACTGACATAATTTTCTTAAGCTAAGTTGTATGGTGTACCCACAATCTGGTGCACTTTCCTCAAGAGCCTGGATAGGAGCAGGAGCCTGGATGGGAGCTTGAGTCGGGATATATAGGAGCTTGAACCTTGATAGAAGCTTGGGCCTGGATAGAAGCTTGAACCTGGATTGTTTAAAAATTAATAATTTAGTAGCACAACTTAACAAAGATTTCCAACATATATTTTTGATAGATAAAACAGTAGGTTGTTTTTAATTCTATTGGAACAAAAATGGTACTGAATTTTGTTTTTTTGTTTTTTTTTAAACACATTATTTTCTAACAATTCTGCTGGTACTAAGTCTATCAAACTAATCTTGCAATTATGGTGGGGAATCACGTGATATGGAGACCACATGACATGGTATTGCAGCAATTGATAATCTTTCAGATTCTGGTGTCCATGTGAGAATTTTTGTCAATATCTTTGTTTAACAGAAAATATTTTGGAGTATGCGTAACTGACAGGACTTGCAGTAGCCCTCAGCTGCAGTAGCCCTCAGCGACATTATAAACAATATTGTGCTTTTTCAGGAGAATTTTAAGTTTAAAGGAACATAATGCTTTTGTGAGTAAAATTTCAATTACTGAATAAACATATCATACTTATCCTCTTATTGAAGAAAATGGCTCATTTCCGCATTACTATTCTTCAGAAATTATTTTTTCATCCAAACATACCTCCAATTATTACATTTGCGCTACATGAGCGCAATATATTTATAGCGTATTTTGAAGATTTTCTTTCATGTCTTTAAGAAATCAAATGCAAATTTTTACATCAGAATTCTAATTGATGTCATTGGTGTGAAACTGAATACTCTTTTATTTCAAATAAAGTTTACAAATGCATAATGTGACTTTAAGATACCATGTTACGTCACAGGTCACCATATCAATGATTCCCCACCATGTCAATGATAAAATACACATATTTAGACCACAGAAGTGCAATACCCCTTATATGTTTTGTATGGCTTTCAGAAAAAAGAGTTTTTTTGGCCTCAGACTCATTTTATGTTGAGGCAATCATTTATGAAATTCAAGTCATAATGTCATTGTGCCTGAATACCTTTTTCAAAGACCGTGTCTCGGACGCCTTTGCCTTGCCCCTTTTTTCTGTTGGCAGAAACACTCGTCAAATGGTCCAACCAAATGTTCACCTGTTTAAATATAAATCAACATTTTAATACATTCACATTTATCAGATAAGAACAAAGCCTTAACATAGTTTCTGTAGATTCAATTTACTTTTTATTAGAGCAAGTCACGACCGTAAAGCAATACAAGACCAATGAAGATGAAACCGATAGCCAAGATTCAAAGCCTCGTTATAACAAGCAGTTGAAACAGTAAATGATAAAAAACAATGATGGTAATACATCTGAAAAAAGGATATTATTTTATTTAGATCTGTTTTGACATACATTGTAATTAAATGCATTTTCTTACTTTATTAAAAATCATATTCTAACAGAGACATAGATAACAGAGATAGGCTTCTTCCTAGCCAGTTAAAATATCACGCGTGCCTGCTAAACTTAAAACTTGTAGCAAGTAAAACTTATTAACCAGATATCAAAATCAGTAAAATAATACATTTTCTGAAAACTTATGCATTTGTCTATTGCTGCAGCCTGCAGGTAAAAATATTACAGTTCCCATTAAAATAAATGTTACATCATTTTTTAAAGAGAACTTCTTGATAGTTATTGTTACAAAACTATTCATATGACAAAAAAAATGGCTCAGTGGGTATGTTCTGCCATGTTTTTTCTAAGGGAAAGGCATGGAAAGTTACCAATATTTTAACATACAGTCATAGATGAAAGATTTACCTTTTAAAGAAAGGGTATATAATATTTAAGGATCAAATGTACATCCATTAAGTTTTATTTGCTACAAAATGCCTAATTTTTCACTTTTTGATAGGCATGAGTGATATTTCAATGGAGTATATAAGAGCTGCTTATCTCTATGTCTCGATTCTAACAAGGCTCACGGGAACTACTGACTTGGAGTCCCGTGACTTCAGCCTTTGGATTTTGACTCCCTTGCATGGATGTGCAAGCTGATCTGGATCTACACTGGTGGTCGCATAGGTGTTAAAATAATTATAAAATGAATAATCAATAACATAATTCTGTGTGTAAGTATTCAACATCCGTTTTGTGTCACTTGATCAGTTCATTCATACTGCAGTTAAAGGGATTATCTCAATCGATACGACATTTTCTGCTGTAATCGTTTATATTCTACAGGCAAAGTGAACGTTCTTTTGTGGATTTTGTATTATTAATACGAGATATGTGTCAGTTTCATGTGATTTCCAACGCCTTTCAGACTCGCAAAATAAATTGGTCTATTCGCGAAAACTGGTGACAAACATGAAAACCGCTAGGCTTCACATAGTGTCTGGATAGAAAATAAATGAAGAATACAATCCCTGTATACCTTTGCAAATAAATCCTAATTCTGGGGCAACCTTCTCGCCTTATCACACAATTTTCTCTACCATAGAAAAAATCGAAAAGTTTCATGTCTGCAACTTCAAAAACACGAATAAAAATATCGCCGTCGTCTTTTGACCTTTCGCAGTTACTCCCCCTTTTTATTTTGTGGCGTCGAAATTCCCGAGTCCCGGGATATAAAAACCGGCCAAAGTCTATTACCCGGGACCCGGATTCCATAAGTTTGTCAAATTCCCGCCTGTCAGGAATGGTCTTCTGTCTAAAGCCCCGTGTATGCCCGCCGCCCCCCCGGTAGGGCAAAATATTGACAGGTGCAATACTATAATATAAAATTAAATAACAAAATTAAAATATCTGAAAAAAAAGATGTTAGTGCGTGATGTGACATCGCAAAGGGCAATGACTTTGGTCCGATGTGACCATGATTGAATGTCCCCCCCCCCCCCCCCCCCCCCCCCCCCCCCCCCCCCACCCCACAGTCCTCAATTTAAATTTGGGTCGTGACGGCACGAAATCAATAATAATGTTGGACAAATTGTTCAAATTCAAGATTTAAAAACAGAATGATGTTCAATTATTATGAGTTTTATGTACTTTTGAAACTCTATATGGATGTTTTCTTGGTTTGTACGTGGAAACAATTTTGACTTTCCCGGGATACTCCATTTTGATAATGCAACTAATTTCCGTACCGAACCGGCCCAAAAATATTCCGGTATTATATGGCACAAACCTCAGAAGAACAAGAAGTGAATGTAAGTAACTTATATCTTTGTAAAAATTTGAACAACAAATGGGAATCATTCACAGCCGGTAATGTTACAAACCATATGACCACATGGTACAAAATTACATCAGACCGATGGATTTTAAGAAATGTAAAACATGGATGTAAAATTGACTTTGATTGCGAAAAGTTTGACATTCCAAATATGATAGGCACACCCCCTCGCATGACGTTTTCGGAATCAGAACAAAGAATCATAGAAGAACAGTTAAGCTCACTGTTACACCAGAGTGTAATAGAAATAGTTGAACAGTCACCTTCTCAAGTATTATCGAACATTTTCTTAAGACCTAAGAAAGATGGCACTCATAGACTTATCTTGAATCTGAAACCATTAAATCAGTTTGTAACAAAAAACCATTTTAAAATGGAAACTTTAAAACATGTGTTGACAATGATTAAGCCTAACTCTTGGTTTGCAAGCATTGATCTAAGACAAGCTTATTATAGTATTTTAGTTCATAAAGATTATAGGAAATATCTGAGATTTTTGTTTAAAGGTGTATGCTATGAATTCAGAGCTCTTCCTAATGGTCTTTCATGTTCGCCGCGATTATTTACAAAGATCCTGAAACCAGTTTTTTCAACGTTACGGAAGACTGGCCATGCCAATGCTATTTATATAGATGACAGTTTTTTTAATTTCTGAAACTTATAATGAATGTGAAGAGAACATTTTAGACACATTGAGACTGATAGACAACTTAGGTTTTACAATTCATAGTGATAAATCAATATTAAAACCTACACAAGGTATACGTTTTGTTGGGTTTTGGCTGAACTCAGTGGACATGACCATAAAGCTGACACCAGAAAAATGTGAAAGCATAAAGAGTTGTTGCCACTCAGCATTAAGGAAAACAACTATGACTATAAGATTTCAAGATTTCAAGATTTATTCAAAACCAAGGCATATAATATGCATAAGGTTATGATATATCAACAATATAATGAACAGTTATTCAAAAGTAATTAACAAAACATGTAAACATAAAATTATATAATAAGGAAATCAATTTGACTAACATATAATATATGACTAGACTCTACTTTTTGGACATGATTTGTCTTATACCGAAGTTATCTAAATTGTTTCTATGTAAATACATTCATAAAGTTGAAAAATTAATGACTTACGGGAGAATGAGTTATTTAAATTTTGAAATAATAATTTTGCAGAATAATGCAAGTTTTAATAAAATTGAATGGTCAAAGCTATTCATTAAAGATTCTAATTTATAAATATTAGGATGATTTGAGAATTTCAAATCAATAAACTTTTTACGAAGAGAGTTAAAAAAGTGACATTCAAATAAGTAATGGAATTCATCCCCAAGAGATTGTTTTGGACATAAATGACATATTCTTTGATTTCTTTCAATATGTAAATGTCTACCTTTCTCTATAGGTAAAAGATGGTTCATAGTTCTGAATTTACAAAGTATTCTACAAAGATTGAAAGGTAATATATCTAAGTATTTCTCAAAACAAAAATCTTTCTTATACACACGATAAATTAAACATTTAGAAGATTCATTTACGGTTCCTTTCCAGTTCTGTAAGAACTGGTCTTTCAATCTCTGTTTCACAATAGTTTTAAAACTATTCAAGTTACCAACATATTGATCACAAAAATAGTTTGATAAGCCAAGCTCATCAAGAGTATTTTTAACAAATGAGATCCAAGGAGAAGTCATGACATTATTAACATGTAAAGAAAGAACTGTATTATACAATATTTTACATATTTTATCATTTTTGAGGTTATCAACTTACTCCAATAACACAATATTCTTGTTTTAACCTGCAGTACTAGGGGACAAAGTCCTGTTTCCCCATATATCATACAATTGGGCGTAGACCTTTTTAAATTAAGTATGAGTTTACAGAAGCGTAACTGTAGTTGCTCAATAATTTGTACATTCTCTATACCCCAAACCTCACAACCATATAATAAAATAGGTACAACCATAGTGTTAAACAAATGCAATTGAACAGATACGGGTAAAAACAATTTTCTCGCTTTTTTAATAACAGAAAACATAGCTCGTCTAGCCTGGTCAACAAGTTTTTTCTTGGCTTTACCAAATTTGCCATTGAAATTAAATAATACACCTAAGTATGCGAAACTTTCTACATTTTCTAACTGTTTACCATTGTACGTAAAGTTAAGGTTCGAGTTTCTAGGCTTACGTGAACTAAAAACCACTATTTTCGTCTTATCCTCATTCACATTCAGATCCCATAATTTACAATAATCATACATGGCATTAAGACCATTCTGTAGATCTAATTTGTTTTCAGCTAATAAAATGGTATCATCAGCATATAATAGCAGGTATAATTTTAGGTAAACATCAACAGTATCATCACTAAGACAATTAACAGTTGCACTAGATATAGTAGACAACCCTTGCATACTGGAAGACAGAAACTGGGTTAAGTCATTTAAGTATAAAGAAAACAAAATTGGAGACAAATTTTCTCCTTGGCGTACACCAAGAGAATTTGCAAGAGTAATAGGAAAATTGGTCGCGAGCGAACCAGGAGTACAGTATGCGGGACTCTATTATAAGCATTTGGAAATTGAAAGAGATACCGCTTTAAGAATCAATAGAGGGAATTTTGATGCAAAAATTAAGTTGTCACAAAGCATTAAGAAATGTTTAGAGTGGTGGATTGATAACATTGATGATTCATTCAGACCAATTAATTTACCTGATCCAGACCTGATAATAGAAAATGATAGCTCGACATCGGGTTGGGGTGGGTATGATAAAACAAATGACATTAAAGTGTCAGGCTTATGGTCAACAGATGAAAAGAGCCACCACATAAACTACTTAGAACTTAAAGCGGCTTTTCTTGTGTTACAATTTTTGTGTGAGCAAAGAATAAACATACACATTCATTTGTTTCTAGATAATACTGTTGCTATGAAATATCTTTCAAAAATGGGGGGGGGGCGTGTTAGAGAGCTAAATGATTTGACCCAAGAGATATGGAAATGGTGTGAAAAACGGAACATATGGCTTACCCTGTTTTATATACCAGGAGTAGAAAATGTGACAGCAGACAAGTTGTCAAGATTAAAATCAACTGACATGGAATGGTCTGTTACAGATAGTATTTTCTTAAAAATTGTTAAAAAATTCAATGTTTCATGTGAGATAGACTTATTTGCATCTGAAGACAATAACAAACTACCCAAGTATGCCTCTTTTACCCCTGATTCGAGAGCTTTCGCAGTCAATGCTTTTTCTCTTAACTGGAATAACTTTAAATGTGTGTATGTTTTCCCTCCTTTTAGTTTGATCGCAGCAGTTCTCCAGAAAATAGACCGGGAAGAAGCAACAGCAGTTTTAATAGCACCAGTGTTCACAACTCAGGTTTGGTTTCCGCGATTACTAAAAATGATATGCAAGCCAAGTTACCTACTACAACCGACAAATCACACATTGGTCAACACGAAGCTAGATTCCAGAAAAACAACATACGCTGAAACACATGAAACTGGGTGCTTTCCTGAGATCAGGAAAAAACTCCTTAGTGATGGACTATCAGAAGACGTTATCGACCTGCTCCTTGCTTCATGGAAAACATCAACATCTAAACAATATTTCTCGTATTACAAAAAATGGGTACTCTTTTGTCGTGAAAGGAAAACTGATAAATTTAACCCACTTATAAAAGAAGTCTTGTGTTTCCTGAAAGAGCTGCATGACAATGGATTACAATATAGTGGTCTAAATACAGCAAGGTCAGCAATTTCAAGTTTACTAGAGTTAACAAGTGATATTCAGGTAGGAAAGCATCATCTAGTTAAAAGATTGTTGAAAGCATTGTTCTTAAAAGCACCATCATTACCTAGGTATAAAAATACTTGGGATGTTCAAAAAGTACTAAAATACATTGTTTTACTAGGGAAAAATGAGAACTTGGACTTGATGTCTTTATCATGCAAGTTGGCACTTCTTATCGCTTTAACAACAGGACAGCGGTGCCAAACTCTATTTTTTATAGACTTGAGAAATATTGAATTTAACGACGAAGGTGTAAAAATTAGAATAGGTGATCTATTAAAACAGTCTGGTGTAAATAGGCATTTAGATGAAATGTTCATAAAGTATTTTAATCAAAATGATATATTATGTGTTGTAAAATGTTTAATTTTTTATATTAAATACACAGAAAATATTAGAAAATCCTCACAACTTTTTGTTGGGGTCCAAAAGCCTCATAAGGCTGTAACTAAATCAACTATAGCTAGATGGATTAAAAACATTCTTAAATTTGCTGGGATAGACATTACCGTATTCAGAGCCCACAGTGTGAGATCAACTGCTTGCAGTACAATAAAGGGTCATATCCCAATTGACACGATCTTAAAAACTGCTGGTTGGTCTAAAGAAAGTACATTTCGAAAATTTTATGACATTCCAGTAAAATGTTCTGGTGATTTTGGACAGGCTCTATTATCAAAATTAGGACAGTAAAAACCTTAAGTTTTTCAAAAGAGTGATTGATGGATTATTGATTGATTGACTGCAACAAATGCAGATCTATTACTCATACATTGTTTATTGTCATATTGTTATTTCACTATAAAAATAATTTTATTATGTTGTATTACTATAATGAGCATATATATGTACTGGATCTAGAGTAGAATTTAATAGATTACATATACAAAACAATTACATTTCCTTTGTGTTTACAAGATATGATATCAAGTGTAGACATGGACTCTAAAACCTCATATAATTCTGATTGGCCAATGGGCACAACAGAATTGAAAGATTAAACAAGACTTACCTGTTGAAGTTTGATCTTAATTCTGTTGTGCCATTGGCCAGGAATTATATGCCCACCCGAACTCTGTTCCCA